TAATTTTTGGAATAAGATGAAATTTTCGATAAAAATTTGCATTTAATATTCGAATTTTTAATAAATTCTTAATCATCTGCTAAAATGATAAGATAGCCGGGGTCCTTTTCAATTATCTATGATGAAAAACGTTAAAAAATTTTTAATATTTTTGTATAAAAAGTACAAAAACGACCAAACTATGACGTCATCATTTCATTTTTCATGTACACGCATAATTTTGGTTTCTTTTACAAAGAAAAGAAAAAAGACTGTCGTCGTTGATTACAAAAGCAAAAAAAAAAAAAAAAACGATAAAACATAAAAAAAAATCGCGGAAAAATTTTGCATTTTCTTTTTCTAAATTTTTTTGAGATTGTCGCAATTTACAACTGAATTTGTCTGTATAAAACTTGTGTTCTTTTTTTTTTTTTTCTTTTCCTTTCGTATTCGCATTATCATAAAACCATACATGATATTTATGTGTACTTGTACAGACAACAGAAAATTTTTTTTTTCTTTTACAGTTAAAAAACAAAACAGAATACGGTTTTTCGTTTATTTTTTGTTGTTTTTGTTATAGTTTTTCTTGTCATTTTCTTATACAATAGATATTGTATTCAGTCAGTATGTCCTAAGCGGGCATGAGAAACGGTTTAAAAAAAAATAAAGATAATTGGCTATAAACGGAAAAATTTTATGTGTATTTGAGCATAAAAATAAAAAAGAAAGTGAAAAATCTTATTTGATTTTTTAATTTTAAATAAGTAGAGAAAATAAATTTAACTAAGTACATATAAAATGACAATAAAACCTTTGATGTGAAGAACCTTTGATTCCCTTTGCTCATATTGCCATCTAAAGAAATAATCAAAATTATTATATTTTATTAGAAAACTCTTCTCTTAATATCAGTGAAAAATATTCCAAAATTAATTCAAAATAAAAATTCACTATTCTGTATTAAACGTCGTCGCGCCACAAAAAAAAAATCCGATTTTTCGGTGATTACTATACACGGATAGTAAAATACGCTACGTTCAGATCGGGTATTCGAAATAATAAATTGAAAACGTTCGGGAATTTAAATTACAGAGTTGAAATTTAATAAAAAAGAAAAATTGTAATTGCAATCGTAAAAATTAAGAACACAAAAATTTTGAAAAAATTCAATTTTTATAAATGTATACGATGAATTGGTGAACTAATAACAATTTTAATTAATTAAAAATTAAATTACCTACGCAAATTGACAAACATTTTAAAAATTCGCGCACAGAAAAAAAAAATATTCAAATATTGTTCACAAATTTTAATTCTAATTTTTACACATAATATTAAATTTATCTGCATAAAATGAATAAATTTTAAACACCTACAGAATGTCAAAAAAAAATATTTACATAATTTGAATAAATTGGTAAATTTTGTTGGTGTTCATTAATGAAAAATATTATTGTTAACTTTAAAACTTTTTATTAAAATTTAACAATATTAATTTTCACAAGCATAATAATTGACTTCAAGATCTAATTCGAAAAAAAAAAAACGCAAAATCTACATAATTTATTAACATAATTCTTGCTTTTGTATTAGGTATACTTACTGTTATAAAACTGAAAGTGAGAGAAACACTGAGAAAAAAAAATATAAAACAAAAAATAATCAAAATTTATTCATTTTTTGAAATTCTAGTTTATTAATCAATTTTTTTTTTTGCTTTGATAATCAAAACAATTTTCTTGTTCTCGCTTATTTTTGTTAAACCTTGAGTAACAGGTACAACAAAAAATATAATAAATAAATAAAAATTCTGTTTAATTTTCTTAGTTATATAACAATAATATTGTACTACATGTTTTTGTAAAAAAAATCCATAAATATATATATATAGATCTACTATATATATATATATATATATATATATATATATATATATATGCAATTTAATAAATTTACACAAAAAAAAAATCAAAAAGTTAAAGAGTAGAGCAAAAAACTTTTAAAAAAAGAGAAAAAAAAAATAACGTGTACAAAAAGACCGGTTTATTGTTATTTTTCTGCTCTTTTACTCTTTTCGATTTCGTTTTTTCATACTTTTATTTTTCTGTGTTTTAATTCAATTTTACGTTATTTTATTACTGTTTCAAACACAAAAAATAACAGCACAAATATTGAACAAAAAAAAAAAATTTCCATAAAATATTAGAATATTGAAATACCGCCTATATCATAATTATTTTAATATAATATTATTAACCGTATAGGTACATATATCGTAAATTTATCACAATCTCAAATATAATGGTATTTAATATAAGTTTGAGGTGATTGTTGACTGGCGGCGGTATCAAAAAAATTACGTAAAAAAAAAACTACTCATTTTTATTCTCCTCAATATTTTTCATAATAATACAGTGAATTTATAATGTTAACGTAAAAATTATCAAAAAAAAAAAAATATAAACTTACCTACATAATGGTGATTAATATTTTGTTAAAACTTAAAAAATGCTTAAAAAAAATAAATAAATAATAAAAGAAAGAAAAAAAAATTCACAATTAACAAATCGATAAAAAAAAACAGAAACAGAAAAATAAAAAGAGAAAAAAAAAATTACTTTTCAAAATTTAAAAGAACAAATACAATACTGTTGTGAATATTTTACTAACATAACATTTAAACAACAAGAAAAAATAAAATACGAGTATTGTACACAACATTTACTTGCTAATATTCTTGTATGTTCAAGTACTTAGATCTATATTACATATTATATAGATATTGAAAATAATTTAAAAAAAAAATTAACAAGAAAAAAATATTGGGTTATGATTAAATTTTATATTGTAGTTATTTTTTTTTTTTTTCGTAAAAGATCAATCAATCAATCATTAATTTATTAAATTGATACTTTAACAGGTTTATGTATTTTTTATTTTTTTCTTGATTTAACACATAACCATATATACAAAGAAACTAAAATATTTTCCAAAAATATTTAGCAACCGAGAGCTCTTTAACAATTCCTTTCTATTTATAAAAACAATATTATTGACAATAGATACTATTATGACAGTAAATTTTTTATTCTCTTTTCTCTTCTCATAAATATTTTTTTATTACTTAAATTGTTAATTTTTTTGTTTTAATAACACAGAGCACAGACAGAGCTCAATTATATAGTATTAATATTAAAATATAGTAATTGTTGTATTGTATCATATACAATATTTTAAAAATATTATTGTGCAAATTACTTACATATAATATAGTATTGTGTTATGATAACAAAGTGTTATTGTTATTTTATTATTTATGAATGTATTATAACGAAATAACTCTTATATTATGTAGAATAAATTTTGTGTTTAATTATCATAAAATAAATGTGCATAAATATACTAAGTAAATAAAAATTTTTATGCATAACATACTTACATATTTTATGTGCATATTATTATGTTATGATTGTTATAAATTGCAAAAACTGTCACAAAAAAAAATACTTGCATATTGTCAGAAATTATTTATGAAAATCAAAAACAATATTGTCTATGATCCAAAAAGAGAACAAGGTGTTTAGAAAATGAAATTTTTAAAAATTTTAAATAAAATTTAAAATATTAATTACAACTAAATAATATTAAATAAAATTCGAATATAATTACTTAATTAATATTGTAAAATCATGTTTTCTTAAAATTTTTAATAATTTGTTGTACCATAGACGTGTCTACATTGTGTATATTGTTGTGTACCAACTAAATTTTAAATTACAACAAAAATTTGAATATTTTCATTATAATAACAAAATAAAATTTAAATGTGCTCATAAATGTCAACAATATTTTTATGTATACTGCATTATTACCTATTTACAAAAAAAAAAAATCTTGTTAAAATTGACAAATAAAAAATCTAATTTAAATTTTTAAAATCGTAAAATTTACTTAGACACACATTATGTGTTTTTGTACATGTATAACTTCTAAGTAAGGGAATAGTAAATTAAATAATATTATTTTGTATTGATTATTAAAAAGAGAGGAAATTACTTAATATTTCGCTATACAAAATAACTTTTGTTTATTACCGTAAATTGTTACTACTTATCCTTGTTATACTTAAAAAAATTCTTCTTAATTGGCTATAGTTGTATATAGAATATTTTAAATTCAAATTTACGATACAGTTTTGAAAAATTTTAAAAGTATATACATATACATTAATCTATTAGTTTATTTATAATTCACAATTAAATAAATTGAATACTTTAATTACTGACATGAGTTCAATTATGTTAACTTTAATTAGTTATCCAAAATTATAAAAAAAATTCATATATAGACGTAATAAATCATATCGTAAAAAAATAAAATCGCGCGCGTAAATTATTCATCTCGTACGGTAATATTTCGAACTGAACAATTACGATAAAACTTATATTTTTTTATTCTATTATTAAAACTCGTATATGTGTTAATAATATTTTTTCTAACTTTAAGTATAATATTTTGAGAAAAAATATTAAAAATTCTAAAAATTTAATAATGAAATTAAATTTAATAATTTCGTAAATTTAAAGAAAAAATCTATTATAACATTTTATGTGTTTAACATTAAAAAAAAGAAATAGTAAAACATAATAAATTAATTAATTATAATTACACTTAAGTAATTAAATAATTATTGTTGTAATTGATCTTAATAATAATATCAAAATAATAATCATAATTAAATTAACATACTTATATATATATATACGATAATGTGTGTACATTTTAATTTATTACCATTTTGAATTTGAAATAGTTTTTTTTTTGAGATCATTCAACCTCATAGAAGAGCTTTCCCAACAACAAAATACAAGGTTAATTTAATATTGAATTAAAAAATTAATTAGAAAGATTGTTAATGACTAAATGAAAATAATAATATTAATTAATTATCAATATAAATGAGATTTTATATTAGATTTCTTTTATAAAATCATTTGGTATATAGAGAAAAAAAAATTAACAAAGTTTATCAACCAATTTAATCAACTCTTTTTGTTTTTTTGCTTGTACTGCTCGTTGTCATATAAAATTATTAAATACGAGATTAAATCTGTAAAACAAGAAAAAAAAATTGATTGAAATGTTTGAAATTTCAACAAAAATTTCAAAAAAAAAAATTAATTGGAGCTCAAAGTAATTAAAAGTTACTATTTATGTGAAGTTGTTGGAAAAAAAAAATTTGTGGAAAAATACCGCCTGAAAAAATGGAATAATGTGAAAATATTTTTAAATTTGTATGTATACAATTATTTTGTATATATACATTTACATCGATGCATATTAGTGTCATAAAGGTGTCAAGAAAAATGCGTTTGAATGATTAAAGTTCATTAATTGAAAACTACACAAGTTTGTATAGAAAAAAATAAAAATTATTTGGTAGCAAATTTAATTTAAGCTTTGTAGTAGCCATTAATTTTTTTTGATTATTAGTACGTACATACGAGTATTATAAGATCTTATTTAACAGTTACTTAATTCGTACCAGCTCATATTATTGATATTTATGTATTATGAGCTCGTATATTTTTTAATACTTATAAATACTTTGTAGGATTAAACTTGTAAAACTATTCATAAGTTAATTTTTATGGATTTTAATTGTATATATATATATATATATATACTGAATTAACCCTTATCGAACGATAATATTCCGTTCACGATAATATTCCGTTCTTTTCGTCCTCCAAGCAACTTAGCATTTGAATATACTAAGCAGTCGTTATGTTTTCCTGTACCATCAGGTTGCAAGCAGTATAGCTTTACGCACGATCTCTCCTCATTATCTGATTATGATGATCTTGATGGTAATGATAAATTTTGAAAAAAATCGTATGCGCATTGTCATTTCAGTTTATCATTAACTTGTGTCACCTCACACATGTCATATGATCACTGCGGACAACTACTGTTATTAAAAATTAGGAATGCCTACACATTTTTAAAATTATTAGTTTCCAAAGTGTTATACATGGCATACAATTAAATCACAGATTTTAACTATCTAAACATATGTATAGTCAGACTCCTTAAAAGAGTTAAACAATACAATGAAAATGAAATTTTCGAGAAATTGCGATAGCTTACTGCTATAATTAAAGGCTTTTGAATAGTATATAACAACTTCGTGTTTAATAATGTAAAAATTCAGTTTACAAATAATTATAAAAGCATAGAACATAATAAAAATTTATTAAATTTCACTGATTCTATTTTTGGTCTATGTTCACAATGTGAAAAATGTTTCCTTTTCCATTTGCTCTTTTTTCATTGTTGTGTACAAATGTACTTGCGATTTGTGTACACAGATCTAAACATAAATTATAAAATGACGTACTAAATTTTTGTTGTTTTTTAAAAAAAATAGATTAACACACGGGAAATATAATTTTTTTTTTTGCCTTACATTTTTTGCAAAGATTTATAATTTCTAGAATGAAGCGCAGAAACCAACAAAAAAACACACAAACATTTTTTATCATTAATGAATTAGAAAAAAAAAAATATTGTAGTTCCTGCGAAGAAGAACGAGAATATATTTTCCAATTTAATATTTTCAGCTTTAGATCAGTGGCGGAAATATAATTTCCTATTATATTGATTAAGAAATTTCTACGAGAAAATTTTTTAGTTTATAAATTCCTGTTCCACAAATGTGTTACAAACAAAATTCCTAGCAAGTTCCATTCAAAAATTTCTGATTCAGCGTAAATAAATATCATGAATCATGCTAAAAAAACTTTAGAAATATGTCAACAACCGAACTAGCCACAGAACCAAAACAGGTCTACCAAATTTATAGGAATATTAAAGAAATTACATAAAAAAATTATCAATGTGTCTATAGTGATAGTACCCTGTTGTATTAGATGCTAAACTAAATTGATTTTGATTACAAATTTATAATAAACAATTTTCTTACATAAAATTTTAAATTTTAAAAAATTTATTGGGTACATGCAAACAACATATTCTTCACCTTATATGTTGACCTTATGTATCTTTAAATTTCATTTATTACGTCATATCTTTTAAAGAAAAACCTAATCTTATTTATAGCGTATGATTGTGTGTATATATTCCATATTTATTGTAATGTACTTGTAGTATTTATAATACATCATATGTACTTTTTATGTACATATATTGTACGATGTGCGTTTATAATCCTTTTGGGAAAAAATAAATTCTTCTCTTTTTTTTTTCTTAAATTGAAATTTTAATTCATTTTGTCTTCTTTCTTTTTCTTTCGGGTTTTTGTGAGCTTGAAGCGAAAAATTACAATTATCATTGACCTAAGGGACAGCAGCTGTTCTTATTTTGTAAGGGTATGTAATAGTGCTACTCTACTACATGCATACACACATATTATGTTTAAAACTTATAGAAAATGAAAAATACAAAAATTTAAAATTTAATTTTAAGAGCACACTGCGAATCTTGAAAAAATATTAGATTTTCCTCTAATTCTTAATAAAGTTGTTGAGAAATTTCATGTATGTTTGATTCATAACATTTTTGTACTTATATACAAAAAATTTAAGTATGTAAATAGAGAAATGAGTACACTTATAAGAATAATCACAATAGAAATTAAACTACGAGTACTATGTTTGCAAATGCTTCTCTTAGTTATAGCAATATTAGAGCAATAGAGATGATTTTTTCCAAGAATTCATGCATGTAAGGCATGTTAAATTTAATGCCACCACATATGGTTTTTAAATGAATTCAAATTTGAAGATCTACAGAAGAAAAATAAAATTTTCTTTTTATTTAAGTAAATTGATTCAGTTTTTTCCCATTCCCACATTGCCTTGTATAGTACAGAATTGCGATTTTCATCTTCAAATATGTATACAAATATTGAGAATTTTTTTTATACCTGCTGAGTATGTAGAAATTAATTACATTGAAATAATTATTTATTCACAGATTAATTGAATAATTTTGAATTTATAGTTTAAAATGATATTATCTTGGTATATTTTTGATTTTATGACAATTTTAACCTTTATAATTTTAAAGTTCATTCTAAAGTTTTATATTATTTGCGTGATATTCATATGTACAATTTCATTCATGTGAAATATGAGGAATTAAATGAATTCAAGACTTTCCGATGTTTCCACAAAATTTTTACAAATCTACAAATACATATGGTGCAATAAGAAAAGCTGTGTGTAATTTGAAAAAAGTTATAAAGATTAAATATTAAGTTGGGTCAAATTTATTTTTTTGTAAAATAGCACTTTTCCTTTCAACAAGTTAAAAAATCGCTTTTAAAAACATTTTACTACACAATTAAAATTTGTAATTTCATTCAGGTACGAAATATTTAAAAAAAATTGCATACACTTAGGCTGAAAATTAAAATTTTACAAATTTCGTGTGGTGATAATTTCAGAGGGGCCGGAAGTGGAACAAAAATTCTTCTAATGAAATGAACTATATATTGGTATCATAAATTTCCAAAAATTTACACTAATAAAAGCTGTAATCTAAAAAAAACGGTATCAAAAATTTGGAAAAACTCAATAATAATTCCGCGGTAGAAGAAACCTGCCACCACCTTTCTGTGCTTGCAAAATTTGAAAAGTGTTTATATTCTTTGAAATTTGTTTTTTTTTCTTTCTTCACTCCTAGGAGGAGTATAGGGCTAGTGCATGATATCTATCATGCCCTAGTTTCTATAGTTATAGAGAGTTAGCTAGGTGGGTGACTAGTCTACCGTAGTTTTTATTTATATTAAATATTTCAGTTTATTAATATTTACTGTTTATTTTTCTTAGTCTTTAGTATCGAATTTTATGAATATTTGAAAATTACTTGTATAATATTTTTATTAGTATTGTATATTAAGTTATAATAATATTGAATATAATTTTTATAGTGACCTGACCGGGGTTTGAACCCGAAATCCTTCGGTTAAAGGGCCCGTGCCCCGAAATGGTCAGGTTATTCTTTGAAATAAGGTTTAAAAAAATGGCATCTTTAGGTCTTTCATATGGTTTTAACTTTTGGAGGGTGGAATATAGGGCTGAATTTCAAATGAAATTTCAGCTTTTTATTTTCAAGGATGTAAAAGTTTTGTAAATAGGCACACGGACAGACGGACGGACAGACGGACGGTTAGATGGATGGACGGAGGGACGAACGAACTAACAGACGGACAAAGTGAAATTAATAAGAACTTTGTAATAAAAAATATTTTTGCAATTTCGTTATTCGAACGTTTTTTTTTTGAAATTTTTAAAATATCCTTGTTATTAATAGCAAACACCTTTTAGAGATTCTAAACACTTTAGAGTGCTGACATTGTTGTGATACGAGTACATACTTAATTACAAAGATACACAATTTTCATACAAGCAAATTTCTATTGACTAAATCGCTAATCTCTGCTTTCTTGTTAAGAAATTTAAAATTTTTTAACTTTTCCAATAATTTCTATTACAATAAGAAGGTGAATTTTATAAAATAATTTTTTGTCGCAACTTATTTTTTATACGTCTATCCTCTGAGATGTAGATATTACAATATCTATATCTTGTATAATATCACGAAATGGAAGTAGATACATGCACATTATATAATAAGGCATGTTGAAAAATTTGTTTGAAAAGTTTTCCTTGTCTCCTTTTGCCTAATTTTTAAGACATTAACTTTATTAACTTTAATTTTATATTTATAATGACTTTTTTTTCTGTTTTTACAGCGGAAAAATTTCAAATTAAATTACTTTATCTAAATATTTAAATAATATTTTATTTACGTACGTATATATGTATGCGTTTATTTGTTCAAGGTGTTGTGAACGGAGTTACATTTGAATTATTGTATTTAGAAAAGAAAAATCTCAATCTCAGTTTTGAAGATTGCAGTGCTAATGTTAAAAACTACAATTGTTTATAAATTTTATTGGAAGAAACGAAACTGCAAATGTTCCCACATTCCAGCTCCAGTTGACTAAGGTGCCTCCTAACCCTATATTGTCCAAAAAAATACCCCGCTGTAAATTCTCACCTGATTCTTGCCCATTCCTATAATTTTCTTAAATCGCTTCTAGTTATAATCTTCCACTGCAGCCTCTTCTCTAATTTCTTTCTTAGGTCACAACGAGCAATATCTGGTCCGATTCCGCCGAAGGGTTCAGTCTCAAGGAGAAGTGTCTTTACCCTCCTCCTCGTCAGCACATCGACTGTCTCTTTTCCTTTCACGCCCATATGGC